TGGTTTGCTGAAAGAGCCAGTGAGTAACGGGATCCAGGGTCTTGTTTTGTCGAAAGAATCAATGGAACCCTACATCGAGAATTCTGTTTTGTCGTAGTAGCTAGTGGGAACCAGGGCCTAAAACTTAGAACCGAGCAAATGTTTGCTGGTGGGTAGACACAACATTTTGCATTGCATTGGTAGCAATATCAAGAAGCTGCACAGCGGCCAGACAATTTTGGCCCACCGAGGTTGGAGTTGCTGACTGAAGGAAGATAAACCATACCAACACCGTGACAGATCCGGCCAGAACAAATCTCTTGACATTGAGATCAATATCGCATATCTTCATGAGATCGCATATCTTCAAAAATGATACAAAAGTAGCAACTGAAACGGTCCACACACTCACCGGAAAACACAAACATGGTTTATGCAAAGCAAATATGTATTACATAAGGCATGTTGATCTGTTGCTAGGACCCACGTGTACATGTGAGATCGGAAGCGAAACTTTCCGTAAATGTTAGCGACGAAAATACCATTTTTGGGTCTACTCTTTGCACGTAACACTATGGAAATAAGGCTTAATCCTCATTTTCTGAAAAGCTGCCGCTGCATCTCCAACATACAGTAAAGCTGCGCCCAAGTTTGGGATATAAACCGTAACTTTCTATAGGTCTACAAAGACATCCAGCATATATTTATGTGCATGCCTAACTGGCTGGGTAATTGTACAGATCTGTTTTGCGGATTGCTATGGAATTAGGACTGCTATTGCAGATCGTATCATCAGAAAATGGCATCTAGTTACTTCCATTGCGGCATTTCCTTTGATAGTTGTAAATGCATCAGATGCGCCAAAATGCATATTCGCTGAAATGGCAGCCATGTCAGTGGGATTTGCTCATTGCTGTACTGTTTGCACAAGTGGCGATCGAGCGTGGCAAGCTTGAACGTGAACGTTTTTGCAAGTGGCTGTGCAACCGAAACCGATGGGTGAACTTCATTGGGGCATCTGTATCTACGAGCACGCATTTGCAAAAATCGTCCACAGAAGTTCCGCGAACTGGTTTCATTCTGGTAACAAATAAATACCCATCACCAGGGCAAATATACGTCAAAAATAAGGCTGCACGTTATGACTTGCGGGAAGTGGAAGCAGGAACAGAAGGTTTGTAAGGTACTTAGTCCTTCGCGGAAGTTTGAGCTTATGAATAACATATTCATGCCCATGGTCAGAGCATTATCTAAAGAAGAGTAAAAGAGAAGGGCCGATCAAAATGCCCAGTTGGCTATTTACTGCATTACTCTTGGCATATTCACAGATCACGATTGGACCTTTGTGAAAAGGCAAAATGAGTCGTTGTTTCCAGACAACCGTTTGCTTCACACGCAGTAAGGTAGCGACACCTCCCGAAATCTCTTTCGATCCTGACTCCTCAGTGCCTTTAATCAGAAGGTTTATACAACTGTAAGCATTAAGAGTTCATATGTCAATGGTTACCGACTTTGAATATGACCGAAGACACTGCCTAAAGGACGTTTGAAAAGAAATATTGCTTGTAGTGTTAATAATTTACGTTTCGAGCCCTGAGTACATTATTACCAGTGAACAAAGCTACCCCCCATCCCCAAAAAATCAACAACAACACGCGTGAATGCAGAATCTTATTAGTTTCATCTTTTATTTAGATAACTTGTACACTCATGATGATAATCACAGCTTGAAAGGGCGAAAATTGACAATTTAATCAATCACTGCTTGATAAGGTCGTTCTACCAGAGCCCCTGGTAAGTTGTTGGTCGATGTCTGTCAGTACGCGAGCTCGGAACTCACGGGGCCGCAACAACAAGAGCTGAACGGCTTCATTGTTTATATGAAGTATGACACTCCAGTGTTCAGATGGCAGGACTGAAGATGGGATGACCTTATCCAATTCCGTTGAGTACTGGTGTTTAGGTCGGCACTGGGTCAGTGACTGAACAGCTAAAAAATAAAACAGCATACATGCCTTGTTGCTGTTGGCTCAGTGCGCACGGGTTGGCTGGACTCTGGAGTCGTTGTACTCGTGCCCAACTCTCAACTAGGAGTGTTAACAGTGGACCGTGTAGTGCCCCGAGTGCGCCACGCCAGAATGGTGTGTCACGCCGTGCAGCTTGTAAATCCAGCCTCCTGGTGCGGCAGAGTATGGCGACAGCTCCAGACCACTGGCGGATAGGTCCACTGTGGTATTGAGCTTGTGCCCGTTCTGATCTAGCTGCAGCAAGAGCCGTTCCGAGTGGATCACAAGGATACGTGGGGCTTCTGATTTTTCAGTACTTTTGACACTTGTGGCGCATGGAGCCCGTCCGCTTTTCTTCTCCGTCAAGCAGCCCTCTTTTGATAAAAAGGTCAACGCAGTCCCACGAGCGCACCTGGACCTGACATGGATGGAATGGGCTGGCTAACGCAGGCTCACGTCCAAGAAAGGACTAAAGGTCACGGACGTGCTGCCACACACCATGCGCCGCAGTGTGCACTTGAGCTGGCCGATAAACAGGTCGGCGAACCTGAAGCTCTTCGGGGATACGGAAACGCTTCCAGGCCTCCAGCGGTTGTTTGCCTCCACTGAGGCTGTCATCGATGTGGGTGGGTTTGAGGTTGGGCTGTTTGACGGCGCGGTTTACACCCTCGTGCAAGCCCTCCAGCAAGTATCTGAGGTGCTCATGTGAGTCCTGCTGCTGACAGTCTGTAAATCGGGCCGTGAACCGCTGGTATTGTACCTTTAGTGGGGAGGTGCCAGGTCAGCCCCATCTGGGCTTTTCCATAGGTCTTGCATTAGCGGGCAAACGCTCAAATGAGGAGCACCCTTCATGGCGGAGGTGGTCGTGTTGATCTCTCTCGAGTACTCATCTCGGAATAGGTAGTCATGCAGGGCACGGCATTGCCCAGACATTGCAGCACGGCCTTCATGAAACACGTATTGCCGATGTTCCGGAGTCCCGTAAGGCCGAGCGGCCGATTCGCGGGCCGCGCCCTGCCGCCGTCTTTGCTCGAGCTAATGATCCCCGAGCAGCCCGACACGAAGGCGGCCGAGCCTGGACAGACGACCAGGCAGAGCTGCTCCTGCTTCCACAGCTTAGAAAGCGCCGCTCGGCATGTTGCTGTCCATTCTATTCCTTCCAGGTGCTCCCAAGCTGCTCCCTGGCCTTGCTCAGCTCGGCCTGCAGCTCCGGCGGGCAACACTCTGAGCCTGGCTTCACCGGGCTGTCGTGCACATCTGGGAGGAGGTGACAAAGTTGTCAAAGAGTATGTTGTCAAAGAGTATGCAGAAGGCTCATTCTCAGGAGGCAACGAGTCAAGCGTTTCATCAAGCGGACTAATGATTTTGTTGGTTGCCTCCTGATGTAATGCCCAGTTGATCACAGTCTGCCTTGTGGGCGTGGGCCAGTGATGTGCGCTGGCATGCGCGTTAAGGGAAATAACTGTGGCACGCACGGAGGCAGCGTTCCGCGGTTGATGTCGATTGATAGCCGATGCCAGAGCCAGCCAACCTCAAGTTGGTCTCCAGATAAGTTGACATGCCGCGACCCAAACTTTGCGATGAAAGCCTTGGTGGGCGGACCGCATGCGCCCCCAGTGTCAAAGCCGACGGGCTCGAACTGAAAACCATCTGCGAGATCTACGTACTTGCTACATTTTACAAACGTGGCGTCTCGCGAGGCGGCCCCAGTGGCTATCGCGGTAAAAATTACGCGAGATTCGGCAGGCGCGTTGACGCATGCAGCGTCCCAAACAAGGCTTTCCCCCGGGAGTACGGGTAGATCGCCAGCCGGTCTGGTCATTCTCCGTCGCCACGGTCCAAGCCGACTGGTTCCAGAATTGCGGGTATGCCCGCAGACTGCAGTGCACGTCTGGCAACATTGCTCAGGGCTTTGTCTCGGCGAGGTCTTCCAGCGCTGTGAATGTCTTGTCCTCGATCTTCGGGGAAGAGTTGCGACGGAGCTCTGCGAGACCAGAGTCCCACGCCCGCTACTGGCGCTTAGCGCCCGCTTGTGGAGCTTCTGAATCGCCGCCTCGGTGTGCCAGTCCTCTGCCGCCAGCTCGGATTTCCGCACCACGCTTGCACTTAAGCATGCTGGCATCATGGAGGTCACGAGCTGTTCGCAGCAGTGGACGGATGACACGTGGCTTGACGGAGCGAGGGTCTTGATCCGACGAAGCCCCAAGCCGCCGTGCCTTGGCAAGACGACTGGACTCCAACAGTTGTCATACAAATTGGGGTGAAGCACGACAGTTTGATCACTACCGCCGGCTGAGACATATCAGTTCTCATCGTATTTGTGGTGCTTCTTCCGCCCTTGGCCATTTGAAGGCACCAGCATCATTGAAATCATGGCAGTTTAAGATTTAGTCAAAATCTTTTGATGCATGAATTTTGGGGATGAAGCCCCATGCTAAACAGTGCTTGTTACGTGCACTCTGCCCCCACCATTCGGTCGTGAACTCCCGGGCGCACGGCCGCATTTCGTGGGCAACGCTTAGCATGCCGCGGTGGTCAGCGTGGACCATCCTGCCCTTTGGCGTTATCTGACCTTTAGCTTGGCCGCTGTTACCGATCACAAACCACTTCAGTCAGGGTCAAGCAGCAAACACCTAAAGCCACCCGACCTCACCCCGCCAAGGTGAGTGATTCGGAAGTGAGGCGCTCTGACCAACCGAGATATGTGGATGGGAAAGCTCATATAAGTAACGTTGTTGGTGGCAATGCTCAGTCCATAGCGTTACTGCCAAAGCGTAGGCGTGAGGTGGTGTAAATTCATACAAATCCCAACATGTGGTTGGGATTTGTATGAATTGATAACCCGTTTCCTTAATCGCACAGTTGTGCTCGTTTCAGGAAAAATAAAATCAGGCAACTTCTTCGCTATTCCCAATGCTTCCAGCGGTCCACTCTTCTCGCATGCGACATTACTCTACAAACTTCCCCCATTTCCTGCCGCTGAGGGGCTACGTGACCTCTGCTGACCCCACTGACCTCTGATCCTTGGGCGAGGCTCGGATAGAGCACTGCTCTTCCCCGAGCGGTCGCTTCGCCGAGCAGAGGTCATCGATGCTGCCCGCCATGCCGTACATCGGGTTCTCAATCAGCTCCCGCTCCACGGCATCCGTCCGGCCCTCCTGTCAAGGTCACGCCACGGTCGTTTGAAGGTCGCCACAGCAAAACCGCCAAATTCACTCAAAAGCCACGTTGCGGTCACGTCTAGATCCTGTCACGGCTAATGCGGTCTTCGCGCGCAGGTCACAGTAAGGTCAACGCGGACATCACGCTCACACCACTCATTGTCACCCAAGGTCACGTCATGGCTGCTACCGTCATCAGCCGCGGAGGCATTTACTGTATTGATTGGGTCCGCCGTCAGCCCGCGTCGGCCTGTATGGGCCGTCCGTTCTTAATGAGGGCCATGTCGCCGACAATCTGGTGGGCGAGGCGAAGAAGACCGGGCAAGGGGTGGACGGAGTGGCGTTCAGATCTCTCGCTCATGACCGCGTTCTCGATGAGCATTGATGAAACTAGTACGCTTGATTCGTCATGAGCGACAATCGTAGGCGTTCAAGTGAATGGCGCACAAGGCCCTGTTTCTCCCTTTACAAATGCAGGGTTCCGGCGAGCGGGGAACGCGAGAAAGTCCGTGCGGAGTCGCATAACTTTACATCGGTATATCAAAACGCAGCATCGGAATACCGCAAGAGAGGGGTGGAGAGGGGCAGATGACGTCACCCGTTCACCTTGGAGCCGCGTCGCGCCTCGGTCGGAGCGACGTAACTGGGCCGCGAAGGTGTGACGTCACCAGAGACGGGGGCGGTGCCGCCGGAGGCGCTGGAAGGGGAGTTCATCCCACCATGTCCGGCCTGCAGCAAGGACATCAGATGGATGCAGGCGCAGCAACAGAGTGTGTTCGCTCTGTACAGAGACAGAGCGGCAGGAGGGGGGGGGGGGGGGGCCTGCAACCAGGGCGTTGGCTGTCGTTTGGGGACTGGCCACGACAGCCACGTCCCCTCCACGACGTGGCTGTCGTGGAAGGGACCGTTGTTTCCTCTTCCGCGCGCAAGAAATCAAGGTTCCCGCTCAACCAGGGTTAAGTACAGAACCATGCTACCATGGATACCGCACGTGACATCCTTTCCCCGTCTCTGTACTGCGGTTAATGGTGTCAGTCATCAAGTGACAAGAATGCAAATGAGCGTCATTGGATTTAACGTTTGCTAATGGACCCACGGACGTCAATGTCACACTTGACCACTTTGCTTCGAAGAAATGTCCGGGCCAAGATCCCTGCAGCGCTCTCCGTCCCGGGACAGCTTGTGCGCCTCAGCATGGTCAGCGGGCGTCAGCCTGGTGATTCAATGGCGCTTCTTGGACAATACTGAGCATTCAGATACATCCGCGGGGTTAGTTACAGATACAACTGCGGTATGCCTCTTTTGAGGGCTAATGTGGAACGCTTAAGGGCTGCTACGACGCCCATTCCACGCGAGGTTGAGCTAAGTTCAAACCCGTTTCACTTTAATGCGCCAGTAATTTCCGTGAGTTATGGATACTTCCAGTGATATAAAAATACCGCTATCAATCAAAGGCATAAGCAGCTTAATGTTATCCCGATTTATGGAAGTGGAGTGACCTTTGCACTGAATAATGACATCGAATGTGCCAAGTAAAAGCAGTTACGACGCAATTACAAAATTGTTCGAAGTGCATACTAAGTATTCAGAGAACTCTCTATCTCCCCCCCCTCTCTCTCTCCTCCTCTCTCTCTCTCATCTCTCTCTCTCTATCTCGTCTCTCTGCCTCTCCTCTCTCTCTCTCTCTCTCTCTTCTCATCATCTTCTCTCTCTCTCTCTCTCTCTCTCTCTCTCTCTCTCTCTCTCTCATTTTCTCTCTCCACCTCTGCCTGCTTCCCTCCTCTCCCCTCCTCTCGCTCTCTCCTCCCTCTTTCTTGCTCTATTCTGTCTCCTCCGCGAGCCGCTGCACAAGATGGCATCGCACACGCCCAGCAGCGTCTTTCGCGCACAGTGCGCGTACCTTTGCAGCCCCCTCCCCTCCCCCCTCCATCCGGGCGCCTCACCCACTCACTTATCGGACGACCGCTGGCCCACGAGCGACCGACCTTTCCATGTATGGCCCCGTGTGCCTGCACGGCCCGCGAAGACGCGTGACCAACAGGTCGCCATTGAGCGGGTGCGAGGACCCGCGGCCGGCAGCGGGCCGTGAACGGCACTGTGGCTGCACTTGGCCTTTAGCTGGCGGTCAGTATCAGCGCGGCCGGGTTTAATGGGGATGCCAGCCAATTAACGAAACAGCTGGAAAACTTTAAACTTGTCCTCACAGTCAGCTGCGACAGAATCAGGTGACGCAGAATCAGCTGACGGCAGAAACAGCTGACGGCAGAAACAGCTGACGAGGAGAGCAGCTGGGGAAGATGCCGCTGTCGGCGTAGGCGGTTGGCACAAAGTGTTGACTCAGCCACTAATTGGATAAGTGAGTATCCAGTAACACGCAAATAGCGACGACATAAACAGCAGGCGATATCATCAGTTGCCGACGCAAACAACCGAGGCACAGTCGGATGGCGACGTAATCAACTAACGACGAGAACAGATGCCCGCGGTAACAGCCTGAGACACGAATGGATGAGACCACAGACCGTCAACGGCACAGGAAGTTGACAATACAATCAAATGGCGACCCAAAGAACTGAAAATACCAAAGCACCTGACTGACGTCACCAACAGCTGACGGCACAAACGCGTAACGGTACGCGCAACTGATGACACAAAGAACTGATACAGATAAGAGCGAAAACATTTCATGACGTCAAAAGCCGACAAACAACCTTGAAAGATCCAACAGGTGGCTGAGGCACCAGCGGGAGCCCCAGTAAAGAAAATAACGTTTCTTTCTGCTGCATGGCATAATGCGACGTTCTGCCGGGTGACTCACACAGCGTGCAGTGACCTATAGCAGGGGCGTACGAAGGATTTCACAATAGGGGGGGGGGGGGCAACTCAAAATGATGAACGGAAAACCGAATTTGGCACGCTGCTGACGCTTGAAAACGATCACGTGCCGTAAAACAGTAACGAAAGTTCTTGATCTCAATTCCCGTGTCTACCTGACATTTTTACCTGAATATTTTGACAAGAGCACATTAATTCATGCGATAGGTTTAGTGAAGGGAGGCACGCGCCTCCTTGGCAACTTTGTGTGCACGCCGCTGACTCAAGAGGTTTTGATCGGTCAATGAACTGAGTTTTAAACTGAGTTTGAAGCGATTATCATTAAGGTGTAACTAGCTTAAACTCTATTCGTTCTCTGCTACCATCGGTACTCACACGCAGGGAAAAAGGGATCCTGCGTAGGTAGGGAGGTAAATTTGGGGTTCCAATAAGCTTTTTACTGGGTAATCTTCTACCAAAATCGGATCCTCAAATGGTCTTATCTGATCTCAGTCAAATGTCATCCGATCTAACGGTGCGTAAGATATCGTTATTTGTGTGGTGCATGATGTGAGATGCGAGTTGGAGGACAGATCAGACACATTTTTAACCTATTATCTCGCTGATAATGGCGGTAATCCGCCGACGCCGTCGCAAGTTTCACGTCAACGGCAAGGCCAATGCAGATAAATTCGAAACACTTTTATAAATTTGAGTATACCATGGAGAGGCTACACTGTTGATTTGTGCGTTCGGAAATGAGCGCTACGATGCAAATGCATAATACCGATGACTAGGCCGAGCGGATGGCTCTCTGAATCAATCACGTCTGCGGAGAACCTGTAGTTTTAAAAGAAAGCCCGATGGATTTATTAGTACTTCCTGATCACAAGACACATAAGTACTTGGTAGTAGGATAAAATGTTCTAAGTTCTAAGACACAAAAGGTGTCATTTATTTATCGCAGGCACTACTTCAGCGCAGGGGTTAAGAGATTGCTATCGAATGCAGACTATGATGCAAAGCATAATCAAATGAAATTGAAAAAGGAAAGTAACACTACACTGGTTTATAAACACTCTTGAAAATAATAAAACTTGGTACAAAACCAGACATTCAACACGACGACAAGTGCTTGACAGATCTTCGCAAAAACGTTTCGAAATCAGAACGCCAGACGTCAGTCAGGTCGCGACAGGATGATCTGCTGTGGATGAGCCCCGGCCAGGCCGTGGCCGGCCCGGGCTGCGCCGCACCGCAGCAGCCAGCCGAGTGTGACCAGCCGCTGGGCCCCGAGCGCTCAGAGGCGTATGGATTTAGTCTCGGCGGGCATCGACCGACGCCGAGTGCGTGGCCTCCCGCACCGACGCCGCCAGCTGACGGCACTCGTCTGTAGCCAGCTGACGGTGGCGGCGCAGCAACCGGCGGACGATGGATGGCGAGCGCCGCTGCGTGGCGGTGTCGCTAGTGGGGCGCTGGCTTCGTCTGGGTCTTGGCCTTCCCCCAATCCCTCCGCCCCCAGCGTGCCTATACCAGGCTATTGTATGGTTTGAAACACCCAATGACTGGACAGAGTCAATACGGAGTTAAACTCCCGTATTTTGCGAAAATTTGTCACTCTGGATGACGTTTCACCAGCGGAACTTCCTAGGCGACATCATTGAACACGAAGAAACGTGATAAATAGTGGAGGCCGAACCTTTCCAAAGGTAACCATCGCCATGCATCAGCATGGGGATGTCTTTCTGGGAGTTCAAAGTGACACGGTTATGAGTTGTGAGTTATCGGTGTTATCGGTGTAATGCCTGAGTGATCGGTGACCTGGGAATACTGCGTTATTGCCAGCTGCTGCGACCGTGTCTGGTCCGAGTTGCGGCCATCAGCTGTTCCAACCGGCCACAGTCCGCTGCTCGCGGCTCGATCCCGCAATCAAGGGCCGCGAAATGTTTACTTTCGCTCGCGAGACGTAATGACTGAAGTTGCAGGACTCCAAACTAGGCCAAACAATAGCGAGTATAGGTACCGGGCGTGACAAGAAGGGATGGAGGGTTTCCTAGGCGTGACACTCCGGGGGCCCCTATTTATAGCAAGTGCTGGAGTAGAAGCGCTGGTCGCGGGGCTCAGCACTCTGTGTGGAGTCGGAGCTGATTCCATCGACAATCACCTAATTTAATGAGAAATCAACATAACGTTAGTTCAATCGCGTCTTGCGAAGTTTATCTTAGCAAATCGTATATGGTATTGATTCGTAAAAAAAGACCTTTCAACTGACAAAATCGGACAGTTCCCACTCGCCGCCAATTAAACATTAAGTTTATCAACAGCTTCCTTCAGCTGTTTCAGTCGCATGAATTAATGACCCCAGCAGGGTTAGTAACAGGTCTTTGCCAAGCGATCTCTTGCCGCATGGGCAACGAGCCCGGCACTCGGGCATGCGAAGCTACGGAACACTCATGCTGTGGCCTGGTGGCCAAATGACGGCGATGATTTTTTAATCGCACCCCGGCACGGGACTTCACGAGCGCTGCTAGTAAAGGTCTCTCTTGCCTGCGGGGAAAACCAATTCCCTATGAGGAGCTCCAGCTCTTGTGCCAACTACCGTTCGCAGCTCGCAGATCCGTGGCGCTACGCATTTGAGCAACGGTGCAGCTCTACAGGTACTGGCAAACACGTCCCACACAAACGTAGCAAACCACAGACCTGCAATGTCAAGAGACGACTCTCGTTTAAGCGACTTCCACCGGTGGCGGATCCAAAGAAATGTATTTTCTTGCTTGGAAACTCCTTTTTAATTCGGAGCAAGAGTGGGATCAAAGTCGGAAGTAAGGTCTGCGTCGCTTTCACTAACGTAAAGGTGATCACAAGCGTGGCACAGAACATTTCGCAATCGGACATCGAGGAAAAATGCAA